AATGTATGCAATGTGTTAATTATTGAAACTGTCTTAACAATTTGGTTTGAAACTGTCTCATTGCTATTTGTTTCTCAATAAAATTATGGAAAAATGAAAAAAAAAAAAAAAAAAAGAAAAGAAGCTGCATACCTGAGATCCCAGGACTTTGGGAGGCTAAGACAGGAAGATTGTAAGTTCAAGTCTAGCCTGGGAAACTTGGCGATTTAGTGAGACCCTGTTACAAAATTAAAAACAAACAAACAAAAAACCCAGAAAAAGTCCTGGCCAGATAGCTCAGCAGACCAAAATGCCTGCTTAGGCAGAGTGCAATGGGCCAGGATTCGATCCACAGCGTGCAGTATGGGCCCTGAAACCCAGGACGCTCTGAGATGGTGATTGAACTAGATGTGGCGCGCATGCCTGTAATTCCAGCGCTTGGAAGGCTGAACACAGGGGAATCACTAGGAGTCCGATCTACATAGTAAGACCCTGTAGGCCCTGTCCTAAAATACAAAACAAACAAAAGGTGACGGAGATGTAGCTCAGTGGAAGGCCCTGGGTTCAGTCCCCACCTTCACCATGGGGTTGGTGGGGGAAAAGAAGTTGCAGAGAGAACTCTGAAAGCTCCGTGTGACAGTGCTGAGCACAACCCTATGGATTCAGGGGTGTACTGCTGTCATTAGAGGCCTCTACAAAATGATTTTTGTTGTTGCTTTGAAGTTTTTGGGATTGAACCCAGGGCCTCCTTGTGCCCAGTGGATGAAGCAAACACTCTTCCATAGTCCTTAGTATGACTTTAATTAATTTGTATCTAGAAAAGTAGAAGCCCTGTGACTAGGTAGGTGTATTCTTGGGTGTCTACTCAGCTTCTATAAATTACTGGGGTGAAACCTGCAAGGCTTTATCACGTAGAATCTCCACAGGGAGAATGGATGTAGGCGACTGGGGCTGGTGCAAATGATGTACCTAGGATGAGCACATTTATATTTGTCTTCTCCACATGTTTCAGTGAACATTATAATTAAAATATGTATCAAATTATATGTGAGGAAATTAAAATACCAATTATTTTCTTTTCTCCAAGTAAAAATATCTTATATCTCAGTAGATTTCATCTGACTTAAAGTTGAATGTGTTCAGCAAAGGGTCTTGACTAGCTATGTTGTGCCTGTGCAGTATGAGGTCCCTTCCTAGATGCCACCTCGCTGAGTCACCTCCACAGCCCACTTTATGTATAAGAGGTAGAAAAAACACAGGAGCAATACTGAACCCCAGATCGCATTCTAATCCGATGTTTTTGCCAAAGTTCTGCACGTTTTTAAGGCCACAGGAACCCTGGAGTGGAGGAATTTCATGTAGCTCTAATAAAAGAAATCCCTTAGAAATAGCTTCTGTTTTCTTTTGGGCATATTATATAAACCACCAGGAAAAAAGAACTTGTTCCAAACTGGAACAACCAACCTATTTGTTGTGGAAACGAATATCTTAATGTTTCAATACTGTCTGCACTGACTGGCAGTAGAAGGAAGTGCACTAGAAATAACACTTTCCTTTTTCGTTGGAATATGAGAGTTGCTGTGAGAGAAGGAGTTGCCACTTTTTCTGTGTACTGCAAGCTGTGTGGTAGCAGGAATCAGTGCTTATTTTTGTTTCTGAGTTCTTATTCTTCTTATGATGCCAACAGTGCCATAAAGAAAAGACAGTACATCACTTTTTAAAATGAGAAGAGAGACACATATTAAATGGAATACTTGTGGTGTGGTTCTGACTTCGTTTTGGTCTGAAATTCAAGATGAATTGGAGGGACAGCAGAGGATAGGGTGAAATGCATGGCACCTGAAGATGGGCTCCGGGTAAAATCCCAGTTAGGTTACTTGCTGAATGACCCAGAGAAAGAATTTTTTATTTTTGTTTTACATTGTTTCTTTATATTTGAGCACTAATTAGCTTCAATACCCTTCACAATTTTTAAAATGAAATAATATCTGTAAAACAACCTTCCGCCATAGTAGAAATTCTGTTTATTCAATGGTTTCATGCTGCTATTGTCAGGGCCTGTTTGTAGTCAGAGAAAGGTTACTCTAATTTTTTTGTGTATTTGGAGGCTTGTGTTTAGTTTGAGTGCAGTTACTTCCTGTCACTGAATATATTTGAAAACATGAATTTCAAGTTGCTTTCTCTCTAAACAGTAGTGTAGTGGTTGGCATTGATGGAAGAATAGTTCTAGAAGAAAAGACCTTTATATCTCTATGCCCTTGTCCTTAATACACATTTTTATTTTTTTGTTATTTAATGACTCAACCAAACAATTCGATGTACTTAGAAATATTTGCATGGCTTATCAAATAAATGGTCTACTTTTTTTTTTTTTTTTTTGTATTTTAGTACAGGGACTACAGTGTCTACAGGGTCTAACTATGTAGATCGAACTCGTAGTGATTCACCTGTGTTGAGCCTCACAAGTGCTGGGATGACAGGCGCGTGCCACCAGGACCAGTCTCAATTGCCATCTCAGCTCACCCTGGGGGCAGGGCCAGCACAGAAGGCAGGGATCTGAACCCAGGCTGCTGCATCTGTTTAAGTAGGTGCTTTAAAGAAATGGTCTTTCACAGAGAGCACACTGGCCAAGCAATGGCCGTGACTCATCCACATGGTTGACACTGACAAAGGATCTACAATCTGAGGCACAGGATCTCAGGATAAATCCTGAGGGGATTTCACTGACCTTCTCAGACCCAAAAGCTACAACTCTTGTTGCATAGGTCCTGCTTTACCTTGGTCTTA